TGGAAGGATCCACATCCTCCAGTATATGGTCATTGGTTAAGAGAAGTTCTGTCTTACATTCATTTAGAGAAGATTAGATATACTGTTAGGGGATCTGCAAACAAATTTTTTGACATCTGGCTGCCATTTTTATCTTATGTAGAAAAGATTTCGGCAGATAATTTTGTGTAAAGGTTAAACATTGTTGTTTATTTATTTTTTTTTTTTGTACACAAACCTGTACCTTGTATTGAATGAGGTATGAATACAAGCTGTACTTATATTATGTAGTAGATCCGGTAAAGGAGGGGTGGGATGGGTGGGATTTTGGAGGTGTGTGTTTTGTTCTGTGTTTTTGTTAGTTTGTTCTTTTGTTTGTGTTAAAAAATGTAATAAAAAGACCCTGATCAAAAAATAAAAAAAACTGGATATACGCCTGAATCCACCCAGTTAAAGATGGTCCCCACAGAAGGTTGTCCTTTGCAACACAAAAATGCCTAGAACCAAATTTACATTGTGTGATTTCTTTGCTTTGCCTGTGGTCAACCAGGCTTTAGATTGAATGTAGACTCAGAAGTGGCTGCTTTGAAGTCCACTTAGTTCTGCTGTATCAGCAGAGTAACTTCAGCAGTCATTTATCCAGCTGTGAAAGTCTCATCCTGGGTTAGAGGAACTGAGACAAGAGTATGGACTCACAGATTGAGGAATTCAGGCTCAAAGACCACATTTTAACTTTTAGCAACAGCTTAACAGTTTTATCAACATTAGCTTTTCATCACTGAACATGTTTCAGCTTCAGAGAGGAACCAGTTTGCTTTTCAGAAACCAAACCCAGGTGAGCCCCATTCTTTAACAACAGGGTTCCCACTCCTTGGTCAACATCAAATTCAAGGACCTTTCAAGGACTTTCCAGTATCAATTTCCTCAAATTTAAAAACCATGCGCGACAGCAATTACCTGCTGCTTCCACAAAATGTTACCAATAAACAAGTGTAATATCATGTAAATTCAAATGAAAACTGAACAACATAGTCAGAATCAACGAAATAAAGTGGATTAAATGTATATCCTACATTTATATCCACAATACGCTGAAATGTAATTGTGTCCTGGGAGGTTCGGCAGCTCAGTTTGGGAGGAGGGGATGTGAACATGTCCAGACACTCTGTGAGGACAGGAGGAGCTGTGGTGCTCTCACCTGGGTTCAGAAAGAACGACCCGCCCTACTCTGCTCTGATTGGGTAAAACTATGACTATGGCTCACGTTATTTCTTGAAAGCCACATCAGTTTACTGTAATCCTGAGTTATCCACTGCAACAAATGTAAGTTTTTTAAAATTTCATTATTATTATTTTACAAATGATGAAAATCAGTC